GGAGTAGGCAGGGGGTGGAGAAGGGGAAAATTACTTGGGTCTACAAATTTCTTCCACAAAAATATTTCCAAGAAATTCGAATTCTATTTTCTATAAAATATTCATTCGAAACACAATCTTTATGAATATAATCATCATCAATTCCTTCATTAAATCAGTACTTATTCATCTGACATTAACGTTCTCCAATAGATTAAAAATATCTGGAGAATACACTAATGGCGCTGCCAAATTCTACAACTGATTAAATGCCATTTAAAAATCAATCCAAGGTTTTTCAAAGATAAGATTACAACTTCAAGGGAAAAAATACATGCAAAGCTTAACAAGGTGCCAAAAGCAAGCATAGTAAGCATGAAAATTCAAAGCTCTTCAAAAGCACCAGAGAAGAAGCAAGTAACAGGACATTCAGTATTCAGTGTGACACGTTAACACATTAACCCCACAACTCTTCCTTCCTTTTCACTGTAAAAAAAAAAGTATAAATTCACAACACCCAATTATTTTGTCTTTTTAGTACCATGGTAACCTTCTTTGGAGCAGTCAAAGCAAAAAAAATGAAGGACAAAAAATGGGACAGAGAGATGTTGGGACAAAAAGGGACACCACATGAGACAGACTCTCTGATTCACAATAAAACCAGATGAACACAAACAATCAGAAGGACACAAGACTTGAATTTCATTCCATGTTTACATTGTGCACTGGTTTATTCTCAAGGCAGAATACATAAAGGCAGATAACATTGATTTTGTTTGCATCTCTCACAGTGTAAACTCTCAAAATAGTTACTATAGGCCTACTAATAGTAACAATGTTCATATTCTGTTTATTAACGTTATATAATGTTAGTATAAATGGAAAATCAATACACTGAGAATGGGAAAATGATGGCAAGGGAAAATTTGGGAAGTGAGAAAACAGATGACAAAATATAGAACTATGACCAAAGCAAATTGCGAATCAAGAGAAAAAAAAAATACAACAATTTCAGTTGCAAATACAGGAGTCTAAAATATTATATTGTAAAAAATATAACAGTTGAATATTTCATAAAACCGTCAAAGTCGACTTTTCAACTCACAATTCTTATTATGTTAGTTAGTAAGAAGGTTATTCATTGGGGAAATGTCTTTCACTCTCTGATAAGCACAATGCATCAATAATATTTAAAATATAACGACAATTTCAAACTTAAGCACTTCATCACAGGTCATTGCCGTGCAGCACCCTTTTTGACCCATGTACATATGGTGAACTGTCGTGATAATAATATGAATAGAACACCAAGGTGGTCCCTCACCTGCAACTTCGAGCTGCCCCCACCATTAATGCTTAATTGGTTTTCTAGGGAAACCCATATTATTCACTAACCACTTGATCACTGGCCACCAAACATTTCTTTCTCCATGGAACAACAGATTTGGTAGTAAAGTCTGGAGCTGTTGCACCATAATTTAATAAAATTACAAGTCATAGGTTTTTACACAGAATAAAGAACAAGTAACGAATCAAACGTCCACTTTGACATTTACAACACAATTACACAGCTTATTTCAAGCCAACTGGAATGCTGAGTTGATTGCTGTTCCTGTCAGTCTCCTGGGGGGCAGAGGGCGCAGAAAGCTGCATGGTGTGATAAAATTCTGCTAGTCTTTATTACAATATAATTACTGACATTGACTAGACCTACGCAAAGCTTGGTAAGTCAGGTAGCTTCAGCCACCAAACCATCCCCACACCACAACCACTTTTTATTAGGGCAGCAACATGTACAGAAGAACATTACTCTTCAAACAAAATAGACTAGCTCTGTAATACAAACATCAGAACACATGATCTCAGGCCTTGTACATGTAATTGTAAGAGTAGGAGTGACATTATAAAGTACAACCATTGAAAAAAAAAGCGAAAAGGAAGTGGTCAAAATTTGTGACAATATTTTCTGATAAAACAGTATCGACCCCATAGTTTAGTTGGGTTTTAAAAAGTTGTACTTTGAGCATTATCATTACTACGCAAGCCAATGCAAGCATGTACCGTCACCCTACAAATGGAAGGAAGAGGTGCATGAAATCTCCAACTTGATGTCATAAACCCCTTATTTGAATTTACTGTCATGAAGAAAGATCCTAATCAAAGCTCACATCAATGAATCAAATACTTTTAGATGTTCCCTTGCTCATGTGTGTATCTGCACCTGTGTGCATGGTGCAGTTGACAGTTGGGTGACTTGAAAGATCCTCACGCTTAAAAAAAACCCCCAAAAAAACTTATTCTTTGGAGAGAAGTAAAAGAACAAGCATTGAATGAGAGAAAAATGAAAATCCTTCACATTCACATTGCCTCTATACCCATTTTTCTTCATTTTCCAGTCACATTTTACATTCACAAGACCAACATAAAAGTAACAGATTAATCACAAAAGTAGAAGTCTTATTCATTTTGCCACTCCAATCCTGCTGACAAAACTACTACTTTATTCTTTTCCCCAAAAATAAAAAAAATTAATTATACAATGTGAATCTTAATATATGACAACTGAAAGTCCTGTGTTAGAACACATGGACCGAACACAGATTGATTCAAAAGGTAAGCACCCTCTTGGTTATAAACTTAGTCCAACACGTCTCTTAGTAAAAGATAGTCTGACATTTTTTGTGGAATAATAGCTTGCTCATTCAAACCATGCATTACTTCAGCAAAACGGTGTCCCATGTACTCACGTAAAGTCAACCGACTCAAATGAAGTAGAGAAGGAATGTCTGAAAGAAATCTGCGAATATGATTGACGGCATCAGGTTTACTGGCTAGGGCAAGAGAAATTCTGTCCTCCCGAAGCCAAGACCACTGCACTTTGCACCCAGCCTGCATAAGCAAGCAAATAATTTCAACGTTCCCCAACTCCATGGCAAGTCTGATGGGGGTCATGGGTCGAAAAGCATACTTAGCATTACTTGTGGTATTAAGGGGGCAGTTAGCCCGCAAAAGTTCAATGATAATGTCCACATTTTGCATATCCACAGCTATATGCAGCGGTGTTGACCACATGAAGGTTTCCGTGTGTGTGGTGGCTCCATATTCCAACAGAAGCTTGACCATTGGTAGCGAGTTGAGGATTATGGCCTGAGACAACAGTGAAATGCACTGTGGCTCACGCACATAGTTGATCATTCCTCCACCTTTGACTAGAATAGGGACAACTTTGATGTTGTTCTCCTCCACTGCCACCCACAGAGGAGTTTTGCCTGTTTGGTCCTTGCAGTTCGGATCTGCTCCACTAAGTAGGAATGACTCAATGATACGATCGTCACACCTTGAGACTGCAATGTGCAGCATAGATCGACCATTCATCTTGAGACGAGTATCAGCACCTGCCTCAAGCAATTTACTGACGATTTCTGAATTGACATGTTTAGAGATTAAGGCACGAAGCAGGGGACTGGTTTTATGATCACAGAGAGCATTAACATTAGCACCTGCATCGATGAGTTTAGAAACCAACAGCGAGTCACCTTTATCAACAGCGACATGAAGAGCAGTCACCTTAGAGGAAGAAGAAATGTTTGGGTTACACCCACTACCTAACAACAATTGAACACAACGTCTATAGTTGCCTTTGAAAGCTTGCTGGGAGTTAAAGATAGCTTTTAACAGGGCTGTCACTCCCTGGTTGTTTTGCCTATCTCTGAGAAACACATTACATTCTAACAGTAAACCCACAACATCAGCAGCCCCATGCTTAGCTGCTATATGCAATGCTGTCTCTCCCTCAGGTGTCACAGCCTCCACATCAGATCCTTCACTAAGCAAATACTGAATGAGTTTCAAGTCACCGTGCGAGGCAGCCATGTGGATGGCACACCAACCACGATGTTTCCTTTTGATAAATTCACAACTCGCTGTAAAAATTATATTCACATCAAGATTGTACCTGCCTACCATTCTCTCCATTGATTCAGCATCTCCTTCATCCACAGCAAGATAAAAATCCTCCAAAATCATTTTGAAAGTCCGGTTCTCCTGAGCACCATCATTTCTATAATCCAACAATTCTATTTCCCCGAAAATGACATTACTTTTAGAAGTTGTTTCTGCTAATACACCATGATGAGAAGCCTCAATACTCTCACTCTTACTGTCCTGGGTTTCAGGGGGATCACTTACAATTCCATCATCACTGCTCTTCCTCGATTGGGCAAGAGAACTTCTCTCAGCAGCATCTTCCTCTTCTAGAGGATTGCACGACAGCTCACTCTCATCCCTACTGCCATTTTGCCCCTCATCCTTCTGCTGACTCACGTTCAGGGACAAAGCCGAGACATGAGCAGACAGAGGCACGTGCTGCTCCCCATTCTGTGATGCAGGCTCCATTTTAAAACAGCGTCTCCCTCAGACTCTTAGCTCAATGTGGAGAACATGCTGAAACAATAAAGAGAGAAAAGTCATCACAATCCTGTTTCAGTAATCTTCACTGTAAAGCCCAGTGCTTAAGAATAACAAGCTACAGTGAAAGAAATTAGGCTAAACAATCCCCTCTCAAAATCCGCCGTGTAGTATTACTATGATCCTAATGATATGGAAATATATTATATGCACTGAGTTACTGTACATGATGTAGTAAATTAGATGAACAATAAATCAATCGTGTAAGAATCTTATCCATCTTCGACAAAGTATTTGAATTTCTCTCACAACGACAGTCTTGAGGTCAGTTGCAGTTCTATTCAGACATTGAAACTAAATGAGATTTTAAACCTTCTTTCAAGTGCATCTAGTTCGCAAAGTTCACTAGATGGGATTCACTTTTGAAGCTCCACTGCAAAAGAAAAAAACAACCAACCTTCTGTTTGTTCTGAATTTGAGAAAAAATTTGTCAAAGGTTTAAAAAAGTTTGCCAAAAAGAGAGAAAAAAGGATAATTCAAAAGGAGAAAAAGTCTTTGAAAGTAAAATTGCATCCCTGTTTTCAACTGACATGCCAATATTCTGAAAATAGCACCTAAATTATTACACATTTCATCAAATTTTTTTAGATCATGTAGCAACTTTACACGCAAAAATCCTTTCCTGGTGCTGCTACTGCAACATAATCAAATCATGATAACAAAAGGCATGAATGACGGAACATAACAATACTGTATCACCCAAAGGAAAATACTCCATGGTTCTGACACAGGCCCTCAACACACCGCTTCACTTTTTGCCCAATTCTGTTCCTTTTAGTTAGCATGGCTCAGCAGCCCATCGGAGCTCCCTGGCTCAGGGTCAGGGGGTAAATGAGCCCTAAGCAACTTTGCCAGTGTCGATTAAGAAGTTTGCATTTTTGTCTAAGTTTGAAACGATATAATTTCTTCCCCATCCCACACAGCAAACCGTTACACCAATGTTTTGAGATTAGTTTTGCTTTGGAATGTTTAATTTCTGTGCCTTAGTTTTTGCTCTAGACAGGTGTTTGTAGAGTACCCAATTTGTCCTGTTTCAGTTACATACTTATGAGAACAAATGATTGTATTTTATTTAAAAACGGCACGACAGACATCTCCAAAATTTGAGTTAAACTGACTATGAATATCCTGTCATTTACCATGAGCGAGAAATCTTAAATCTGCGCAAGTAGTAATAGTCAAGTTATAAGAGAAGAAAGATGCACATCTGCATTTTTTAACAAAAGTAAAAGACACTCAGCATTAGCTCTTGTTTTACTGTTACAAGAGAAAGTTACTCTGCGTTTGTTCATTAATCATGCTGTGTCCGTGGTAGCCTGCATACAACTAAGAAAGATATATTATGAGATTAAAAAACCCCCACAAAACTGTGTAAATACATGGGTAGAGATAAACGTCTTCTATGGAATAAAAATAATATAATGACAGCAAACACATTCATTTTTAGTTTTTGTGTCGAAAATATAATGCGCGGACACTTATGAATGTAATGTAAAGAAATCAGAACATTGTCAGTTATTGTAAATGGTCATAGAAACGCAAATAATGCTGGAAAACTGTGGTGCTGATTCGATGTTACTGGAAAGCAAGAAACTATAAATACCCAATTACGAGAAGTCATCTCTGTTATTCAGTCAACTTACAAAACCTAGACTTATCGTTTTAATTAAAAAATGTAAGGAATTACTGGAGTGTAACCGATACTGTTTTTGCATTACATTGTAGATGCATATATTCTGGCACTAAAATCGATTTGTACTTCTTCATAGAGATACTACAGGGTAATTTTTATAAGCTTTGGAGAAAATATGGAAATATTCACGATTATATTAAAATTAAGACATATATATATATAAAGTTGCATTAATTGGAAAAATTTATTCACAGCGAATTGTGTGCCAGATGGATAAAGATACAAAATTACAGCTAGCTATTATATGCGTAGATATAATCTTTTCTGAGTATCTGCATCAATGTTATGTCGTTCATGTTCCAAATATTTGACAGTTTTTGTTGTGCCGTTTATTTTATATTGATTTTTTTTCCATTCACACTTGTCCAAAAAATCTTACAATTCAGCACTGCCGACTTCAGCTTCTCTAACGCAGACAAGATACAATGTCCGTTCTTTTTTTAGTCTTAAGAGCAGAAATGCGTGCTTTGGGTAAATAAAATAATAATTACAATAAATACCAGGATACACCTAAAACTGTACGTTGAAAAGTACAAGAAATGAAGTCAACCCAGACAGAGCGGCGACAGGGAGCTGACCCCCGCGCTCCCTACGTGATAAGACACTCGGCGGGGAACCCCCAACAGCAACTAAAATTCCACTGCCAGTGCGCCATGAACAAGGCCTTGAATTATACCACTGTCTACTAGTAACAAAACTTTGAAAGCCATGGTGAGGTAAAAAAAAAAAAAATTACAACATAGCCAAACAAATCAAAAGTCCTATCACAAGTCCTGTCAAAAACAATGTAGGCCTAATAATGGGGTAGTGCCAATTGTTTGCTTGGAATTAGGCAAGAAAACTGAAGAACCTCCAAAACTGTATGGGGTCTTTTATTTTCTTTTTTAAAGAACGAATAACAACACTTTGTGACTCAATTTGAATGTTTCTTCCCGATATTTGTAGTCTTCAGAATTTTTAAAAAATTCTTGATAACTTCAAGTGAGAAAATTGATTTCCACTCCCAGGTAAATTAAAATCTTTTGGGTATTAAATACCTTTTGTGCTTCTCCTGTCATTTTCATCAAAAGTATACTATCTGAAACCCTAGTTCGTGGTATCAAACAAAACCTACAACCCATTAACTGGTGCAAAATCAGCTCTATGTCCCTTTTCACTTTTTACCTCATCCATTCAAGCTGACTTATGACGCATCTACTCCTACTCAAATAAACTTAAAAAACAACTATATATATATATATATATATGTGTGTGTGTGCCTAAAGAAAGGTACCAAAAGTTCGATTTTGACCATTTTGAGTTAAGGATTGTACCTTATAGGAAATTCAATGTTGAACACAGGGTATTTTGAATATTTTAGATATCTCAAGTACTTTTTGAGATATTGCACATTTTGCGAGGTAGGGTATAAAAATATAATTTTGAGAAAATGAGTTTTTAAGTTTAACACACGTGAAAACATATAATATACAAACTTAAAAAAAACTATTTTTAAATATTGATTCATGGAAAATTTATTTCCAATTTGGCATTCAGTCGACATCGAAAAAAGAATAAAATTCAATGCTAAAACATTGCAGGGAAGAGAAAACGGGCTTCAACAAAAGATTGTAACACCTTTTAAAAGCAGTTTTCCTTATTTGTTTAGACTCTTCCCTCAAAAAAATTCAAAATAAAACATGTAGAAGTCAAACCAATGAAAACCCTTTGAGCACATTGTAAAAAAATGTTGGATCTATCATTTTCTTAGGGAAACGCATTTTCGTCAAAAAAGTGATTTTTGTCATGATCAGTCTGTGGCTCGAAATGGTCTGGGGTGACTTTTGGTACCTTTCTCTGGGCGCACACACATATATGGGTCCGAGAGGGGGTTTCTGACACAAGAGGGCTAGACAACGACAACTAAACGCTATTGGCCGATATTTATTGTAACAGCCTTCTTGTTTGACCTCGCAAGGGGGATGCCAGCTGCGTCATCTGATCCTGATTAAAAAACTAGTGATGATTTTGCGCAGCGGGCGGTTTGTACTGGCAGTTTCCAAGCTTCTCTCTTTTTTGAGTTTTTCCTAGCGGTTCCCCCTAGTATGATTTTGCACCTCACAGTATTCATAAATTGCAAACCTTGCAGTCTCGAATAAGATCTACTCCATTTGCAGCTCAGCGTCTTATTGAGTCCAATCTCTTGTAAGTGCTTAATTTCTTGTGCTTGCAAAACTTTAAAAGAAATGATCCGGACCGAAACGGTCCATCATTTGCACTACGTCGTTGAACTTTGTTTGAACTTGCTTTCGTACGTAGGTCTACTCTTAGTCTTCTTCTTCCTCTCAGTTTACATAGTGTACAGCATCAGAATCAATCTGGGCTGAAAAAGGGTGCTGCACAATCACAGACAACCGAACCGAACATTTCTGCAAGTTGCAAAGAAAATAATCTGGAGTCGGCAGGCTGCTGTCGTGCGGTCGTGTTACCACCATGACTGACAAAGTGGGAATCCCTCAATGACATAGGCCTACTTTACTTTACTTTACCGATCCAGCGCCCATTTGGGTTCTTGCTCTTCGGTCTGTCGATATGGCAAAGAATTTGTAGGTTTTAATCAGTTGTGCTTTGTCACTGTATAGAGTATTTCCGATGTCTGGGGAGGCAGGTAGGTAGGTGCTACGCAGGTCACAAAGTGCTTAGCAGTTAAAGAGGTGGTGTGGTACTGTTTCATCCTGGCAGTCGCACAGCGGGCAGTCGGGTGGGGTATCCTTGCGGATCCTATTTAGGTAGGAATTTAGTGGTATGTGTTGTGTTCACAGGCGAAAGATCGTGACTTGTTCTCTTCTACTTAGGGAATTTATTGTATCTTTAGAGTTGGGGGCTGTCATGTGTGCAAATACAGTTCTTCCAGTATTGCCCATTGCCCATCCATTCAGCCACTGTTCCCTGTGTTCCCTGGTGTTGCATTTGATGATGTTCTTGGCTGTCTGTTGTGATACTGGGTTGTGTGGTTGTGTTTGTGATGCTCCCTTCTTTGCAAGGGTGTCTGCTCTGTCGTTTCCTGGGATGTTGCTGTGGCCAGGTATCCACTGTAGTGTCAGGTCGACGGCATAGGTCTGTATGAAGGTGTTGATTGTTTGAGCCACGGATAGGCAGGCTGGGCTTTCGAAATTCAAGTTTTCCAAAGCTTGGAGTACTGCCCTCAATGACATCAAACAAGATGACTGTAACAATAAAATTATCAACCAATGGCGTTTAGTTGTCGTTCTCTAGCTATTCACTTGTGTTTCTGACAGTGAAA